ACCCAAGGTGGTCTGATCAAGAGCTTCCGGCATCACACAGCTACTGACCGGCAAAGGAGCAACCAGATCATGCAGGAGGATTAAACAGGAACAGCTATAAGTATGGTCTAGACAGCTCTCCATTCTGGTCTTGAGTTCTGAATAAGGATGTTGCTTCCCTGCCAATTTAGGGAAAGGATTTCAGCTCTTGCTCTTAGGAGACAGGATGGTCAGTTATTGGCTTATGCCTGTAGTTGGTTGTGTTTTATTCTTTTCGGGGCCCACTACCTGTTTCCCAAATAAACACACATGGAGTCTCATTTATTCTTACGAATGCCTGGCCTTAGCTTGGCTTATTTCTAGCCATCTTTCTTAAATTATCCCATTTACCTTTTGCCACTGGGCCTTTTCTCTTTCTCTGTGTCTGTATACCTTTCTTCTTACTCTGTGGCTTGCTGTGTAGCTGGGTGGCTGGACCCTGGAGTCCTCCTCTTCCTTCTTATGCTCCTCCATCTTCCTCCCAGATTTCTCCTCCCGTTTATCTCTCTGCCTGCCAGCCCGGCCTATCCTTTTTCCTGCCTTGCTATTGGCCATCCTGCTCTTTATTAGGCCAGTCAGGTGTTTTAGGCAGGTAAAGTAACACAGCTTCACAGAGTTAAACAAATGCAACATAAAAGAATGCAGCACATTTTTGCATCATTAAACAAATGTTCCACAACATAAACAAATGTAACACATCTTTGAGCAATGTCCCACAACATATGCCTGTTCTTTTTAAAAGTACCTTTAATTCAAAATAGTCTGTGTGCCAGAGTGGCATAGTTTTAACTCCCTCACTGACCTGTCATTGTGCGCAGTCCCAACTCCATGGTTGACTTGAGGGAAACCCCGTGGGCAGGACTGTTGAATAGGTATATTGTTTAGTACCCACTGGTGGCTGACTTGGCTTGAGTCATAGATTGAGTTGAGGTGCCCCATTCTAGCCCATAAGCTCATTCTGGCAACAGCTTTTGGGCCCTTCCTTACAACTGTACAGTTAGAGTGATGGAGTGCAATTGGTAGCAAGGTCTGTACAAACTCAGAATGCCCAGGAGACCCAACTAGTCTGAGAGGCAGACAGGATTTTTCCGGGACTTGGTAGCCTGTACACAAACCTGGCTGGGCTTGTGCCCGAGCTGATTTTGGGGTGGGTGGACTCTGAGAAGTAGCTAGGTGCTACCTACTGAAGGGTTGCTGAGTCATTCTGAGTTTTCCTTCTTTTTGAACCCTGGCCTTGGGGTTCAGCTCTGCCTGTTGCCCAGGGTCCTGCCTGCAGCTTCCCTCCAGGACATCTGGATCTTCTCACAAGAGGAGGATCTAGCTGCCTTCTCGGCAGGCAAAGAAGTCCTGAGAGAGCATTTGCAGAGCGAGTGTGAACAAGAGGATGATTTGGCTCGCAGTGCCACTTAGACACATTCAGACACATTTGCATAACTGCCCAGTAGCTGTGATTTTCACCTTCTCCTTGCATTATTCTGATTTCTGGGTTACTGACTTAGTTTGACAGTCCATAGAACGCTTACGGGACACAGACAGGTAAGTTAAACTTGGCTGTTGAGGCCCTTTTGGGGAGATTCTGGATTTATGTTCTTATATATCCTGGGCAGCCAGCTAGTGAGTGCTATGGTTTTTTGGAAACAACCTTTGAGTTCTTCCCCCTCCCCCACCTGTGTATGTGTGTTTGTCTTTCCCCTCTTTTCTTTTCCCTTCTGTTTTAGTTAGGGTTTTATTGCTGTAAAGACACCATGAGCGTGGCAACTCTTTTTTTTTTTAATTAAAACTTTTTTGTAGAGAATTTGCAAATAAGAAAAAAAATCACACATCAAAATTAGCCTGACCCAAAGTCTGTGCATTTTAGCAAATGCCTATGGAACTGACACAGACACTATGAAGCGGTGCAGTTTAACATTGGATCTTTATGCTCTAACTAGCCAATATATATATTTTGTATTGATTTTTATTGAGCTCTACATTTTTTTTCTGCTCCCCTCCTCGCCTCTCCCCTCCCCTTCAACCCTCTCCCAAGGTCTGAGCATGGCAATTGTTATGAAGGAAAGTATCGGTCCATTATTATCATGGCAGGAAACATGGTGGCACACAGGCAGACATGGTGCTGGGAAGGAAGCCGGGGTGGTAGTTTTACATCTGGATCTGCAGGCAGCAGGAAGAGCAATGAGGCCACTGGGCCTGGCTTGAGCTTCTGAATGCCGCGCCAGCGCGGGCTGGAACCAAGAGTCTCGGCGGAGGGTGTCCAGGTTGAATGAATACACAGAGCACGAGCTTGAGGTGGAACAGCTTCTTTTTTATTGTCTGCTGGGCTGGTTTTATACCATGGCACCAAATGAGGAGGGGGCTGCGAAGGGACTGTAACCTGACCCTGGCAGGGATCAAGGACTGGTCACCATGCACTTAAAATTCCTTCCTTCCCTGCTCCAGGAGCAGAGGGAATTTATTATGTTTTCCTTGAAGATAAGCACCTCAAATGGGGGCAGGGATATCAACTCGGGGGCTGCAGTTCCCACACTGAAACCTTTAAAGCCCACCCCACTGTGATACGCTTACTTCAACAAGGCCACACCTCCAATACTGCCACTCCTTATGAGTCTATGTGAGTCATTTTTATGCAAGCCACCACATCTTCCTTCCTTTTTTCTTTCTTGTGTTTTAGAGAGTCTTATATGACCTAGGTTAGCCTTAAACTCACAATGTAGCCAAGGTTGGCCTTGAACTGCCTTTATCTCCTCATTGCTGAGTTTACCGGAATGTGCTACCAGTTCTAGTTTTATGGAATGCTGGGGTTTGGACCAGGGCTTTGTACATGTAAGACAGCTGCTCTGTCAACTGAGTTCAGCCCCACTTGGCTTTGAAATTTTTATTAATGAAAGATTTTGGAAGGATCTTTGCCCAAACCTACCTCAGAGATAAGACCCCTCCTCTGAATATCCTCTATGGGCCCTGCACCCCTTACCTGCTCCGATAGGCCTGCTCCTCAAAGGCAATGCTGAGGTAGGGGTGCAGGGATGATGGTGGTCCTTGGACATAGAAGCTGATGCCTATTCAGGCTGAGTGCCTATCCCCAGGCCAGAGTCTCCCCGGGGCATCAGCCCCTGCAGAGGAAGTTTCCGGAAGAGCTTTGCAAGGATCTTTGTAGCCTGCATGGGGAGCTGGCTGTGCTTGTGCCGCTGATGAGTTTTTGTTGAGGTGGATGGGCTCCTGGAGGCAGTCAGATGTTCCCTCCATACCTTGTTGGCATCCCGTCTCAGACTTAGCTCCCTTGGGCTTACGATGCCTGTGGGCAAGGTGTTATGTATGCAGTGTTGCCTTGGAAACTGCAGCTGTGGATACACAGAGGGTGTGTCTCTGGGTGGTGGGAGGATGTGTAGGGCTCAGGACTGAGAGAAGTTGTTCAGCCATTTCCTCCACAGACCCTTCATTCAGGACCAGAGTGCCAGACAGCTCTACTGCCATTGCTGTAAGGCAGGGTTCAAAGAAGCGCCACCGGCTGTCACCAGAACCTCACAATAGAGTGACAAAAACCATAGCCAAGAAGGCTCTGCACAGCTTCCATCCGCCCCGGCTGCTTTTGTCTCCATGGCTCATGTCTAGCTTCTGTGCAGACTGTGTGTCACCCTCCTGTTTATACTGCACAGCTCAGTGTCCTTGCTTGGTGTCCCAGTTGTTGCATGTCACTAAAAGTCCTTTCGGTGACTCTTCAGTGGCTGAGTGGCGGTCATTTAGTTTGCCGTGCCAGGACACCCACCAGTCCTAGAAACCTTTACCTTGTGTGTGTTCCCAGGAAAAGGAATGTGGGTCCCCTCAGAGTGGATCCAGAGGTTTGCTCTGAGGCCAGTGCCATTGGGGTGTATGTCAAGCTCCAAGCTTTCCAGTGACACCTGGGAGTCCTACCCGCCCTGAGGTCCAGAATCATTCTGACCCGCGGCTAGTGTTCCATGAAGCTCTAGAGACCACAGTGTGTAGAAATCCTCGGCAGTGGCTCTGGTTACCTGAGTCACCTGTCCTCAAGAAGGTCACTGTGGCTTGCAGTGGGGGTAGGCGCTGGGGGGCTTGGCACCAGCTTTTTGTGTGTTAATTTCCTGTTTCCTTTTGGGAGTCTTTGTCCTTGGTTCTGATAGACACTTCCTGGCCACAAAGGATACCAGCTGCTCTGCTCACCTTGTTCTCTTCTCACCCATTCTTCTCTGCTAAGTGATGCCAGTCAGCGCTGGGGGTTGACCACGGCAGCGCAGGGCTCAGAAAGCGCCGTGCCTTAAGGACTGTACAGGGCCCTGCTATCATGGACAGTCCCTGCTGGGTGGAAAGGATGGTCCGGTGGTGGGTGGAGGCTTCCTGGACGCACAGTTTTGTGCTAAGTGGGTTCTCCTTTATTCAGGTGATGGTTATCTTGAACGTTAATTTGATGGGAGCTGAAATCAACTAAGAGACACGCCTCTGGAAGGGTCTGTGAGGGCATTTCCAGGAAGCAGAGAGCAGACAGGAAGTAGGGCCAAACCATACCTCCCACCTCCTGCTCCCAAACACAGTGACCTACTTCTCCTAGCGAGGTTCTACCTGTTAAAGCGTCTGCAAGATTCCAAAACAGCGCCACCAGCTGGAGGCTAGGTGCTCAAACACAGGAACGTGTGGAGAGTACATTTCACACTCAAACCAAACCAGAGTCCCCAGCATCTCTCAAAGCTGCCTGCTGATGCAAGCCCTGAGAAGGAAGGGGGTGCTGAAGCTTGGTCAGGTGTGACCACTCACACAGGTTCTGACTGGTGGGAGACTTAGCACTCCTTATGGAACAGCCCACCATGAAGCTAGGACTCTTGTCTGGGGGCACTGAGTCTGGGTTCTGTGGGTCTGTAGAAGGGGCCTGTTCACAGCCTTGTCCCATGGCCGGCTGGGAACCCTGGCTCTTTCAGGGTGGAGGCAACTGAAGAGTCCGGTTTCTGGCATTCTGCTCACTGGCCCTTGGCCCCCAGGTGTGCATCGTGCAGAAGCGGGACACCGAGAAGATGTATGCCATGAAGTACATGAACAAGCAACAATGCATCGAGCGTGACGAGGTCCGCAACGTCTTCCGGGAGCTGGAGATCCTGCAGGAGATCGAGCATGTCTTCCTGGTGAACCTCTGGTGAGCCCACCGAGGGCCTGCCAGGAATGCCCCTCTGGAATGGGACAAGGGGCCCTACTATTCTTTGGCTCTAATACTGCTGGAATGCTCTCCCCTCCCCCCACTGCCGCTAAGTCCTCCCTGCTCCCACCATCTCTTCAGCTTCTGTGCTCAGAGCCTACTGGTTCCAGGGGCCCACGGTGTACTGGGATTTGTATAGACTTTCCCCAGGTCTGCTAGGAGCTAAGAATTTAGCATTCCATGATCACAGCAACGCTTATTAAGGAAAACATTTAACTGGGGCTGGCTTACAGTTTAGAGGTTTAGTCCATTATTGTTATGGGGGAAGCATGGCGGTATGCAGACAGACATGGTGCTGGAGATGTAGCTGAGTGTTTTACATCTGGATCCTGAGGCAGTAGGAAGAGAGATTGAGCCACTGGGCCTGAGCTTCTGAAATCTCCAAGCCCACCCTGGTGATAGACTTCTTTCAGCAAGGCCACACCTACTCCAGCAAGGCCACACCTCCTAATAGTGCCACTTCCTATGAGCCTACAGGTCCATTTCCATTCAGGTCACCACACTGCACAAAATGAGGGCTAGATGCATAAGAACCTGTGAGCTGCTAGGAGATTGATTCCTTCCTCTCCAGGAAGGACCCAGGGTCTGCTCCATTGCAGGACTGCTCCCTGACCCAAAGGGGCCTTTCCCCCTCCAGTACATGGATCTCTCGGACTCAGGGGTTCTCCTTGACTGCTTCCTATAGTGGGCTATACAGACTTCCCACATAGACCGTTCTGTGCTGTACTTCTGGACAGGCATGAGGGACAAAGGCTAGAGGAACCACAAGGTTTCCAACAGTAGGGATCTCTGGCAAAGTAGCCCTTAGAAGTCACAGGTGCCCGCCCCTGTTGGTGACCCTGTGTCCATTAGCAGAGCTTTAGGAAGGACCAGCTAACAGCTGTTTGGGGGTACTGGAAAGCAAGTATGTTCTATTGGACAGTGAACCCAAGACTTGCTGGAGAGCACAGAACCATCCCCCAAACTGCAATCTGCTGTTTTATTTTTGCTACAGTAGGTCAAGAAACTTCAAAGGGGACAGTGGTCATTTCCCAGAGGTGACGCGGTGTGACTCAGTGGCTTCCTTCCTACTCAGACGCTCTAGTGTGCCGTGGCTGTTGTCTTCCAGGCAGGCTGGAGAGTGATAGATTCAGAGAACATTTCTGTGGTTGCACATTCCATCTGGGTGTCAGCACGCTGAGCACCATTCTAAAGTGGGGAGGAGGTCTCAGTGAGAAGTACCCCTCCAACCTGGTCCTGTCATGCTGTAGCTTAGGAGGTCAGGCCTAGGCACAGGGGTGGACCAGGAGAAAGGAGGGTAATCGCTGTCATGTGGGAGCCACACAGTGTTGGCACTGAGATGTCTTGGAAAAAAGGAAGACCAAGATTTTCCTGTTTGGGACCTTAGCAAGCCAACCTCCTCAGACTATCTAAAAGACAGTGTTGCCTAATGGTCAGGTACATGGGTACTGGATTGAGTCTTCTACCATGCTGCAGACAGCACACCCAGTCTCTTTGTTGTTAGTCTCCTCGTCTGTGAGACAGGAGGTCCCCAGTGCTGCTGTGCACAGTGGAACGGGTGTTGGTGTGACTTGGGCCACAAGCCAGGAGTTCAGAATCTATATTACATTCTAGCTTTCCATGCTACATCCCTCTGAGGGATGTCACCTGCCATCTAGGGCTGTGTGCATGGGGCCACCATGACATCCCAGCTCTCTTTGCTCCTTGACCCTCTTCCCGCCCCCTTCCTTGGACTCCTGCTTGGGCCACACCTTCTCCAGGCCACCCTCTCCAGGCCGCCTTCCACTGAGAATGAGAGACGGTGACTAGGGAGGGCAGGGAGTGGGACATACATGAAAGTGAATTCTCTGTAACTTTCTTCTGAGTCAGTTGTGTAAAAATTAGAGTTCCACCAAGAGCTCACAAAAGACATCACCAAGTGGAAGGACATCCTTAAACCATTGCTCTGCTACTTGCTACCATCATTTTCATTATCACCAACATCAGCATCCCCACTGCTACCACCAGCATCGCTATCATTACAACCGTCTTCAGTACCATGACCACCACCGCTGTCACCAACACCATCACCACTACCAACCAACTCTCATTATCACCACCACCATTGCAACCATTGCCATCAATATCACAACCATCACCATCACAGTTACCACTACCACCGTCAACACTATCAACCAACACTATCTCTACTGCCATTGCAATCATCACCATTACCATAACCATCACTTTTACCAGCACCACCATCACTGTCCTCACCATCATCACCACCATTACCATCGTGACCATTGCTGTTACCACCATCACCACCACCGTCATCACCATGGCTTCTGGTCATTAAACCCCAATTCTTGCCCAGCTCTGTACTAAGCATTTCACTGGTACTGTCTCATGTTCTTTTACCAGCCAATGCTTTTGTCTTGTTTTGTTTATTCTCACAGAAGAAACCAGGGAAACCGGAAACAGTCCAGGAATCTCCACTGTTTCTGTTCGCCAGTTGTCACTCATGGGTATCCCTGCCCCACAGCCAAACCTCCCTCAGGGGCATGGCTGCTCTGTTTTCCCTAGTATCTTGGTGCAGCTATGAACGAGGATGTAGTCGTTGCCTTAGGCAGGATGGTGGTTGAATTGGAAGGAGGAAGGACCAGGTGAGGCAGGAGCCGTTGCTCTGGCTCTCTAGTCATTCATATGCCAATCCCTCGATGCCCACAGGTATTCCTTCCAGGATGAGGAGGACATGTTCATGGTGGTGGACCTGCTTCTGGGTGGAGACCTGCGCTACCACCTACAGCAGAACGTCCAGTTCTCAGAGGACACTGTGAGGCTGTACATCTGTGAGATGGCCCTGGCCCTGGACTACCTGCGTAGCCAGCACATCATTCACAGGTATGTGAACACCTGCGGGATGACGCGCCTACCTGGGTTGAATGGTTGGCAATAACCTTGGGTCACACCACCTAAGGGGATGATATTTCTGGTCTAGCAGAGTCTGGTCTGGCTCTGTATCCCACCCTCCCCACAAATACCTGTTCCTCAACCCTGTCCAAACAACCCAGTTTGAGACTCGACACAGAGGACTTAGTCCTCATGGGTGGATTGCAGGGCCTGGCCACATCCAGGTGACTCTTATTTGTCCCATGACCACATCCTGGGACTTCACACTGATTGTGGTATTCTTGCAAAGCAGGTGGGATTGGGAAATGTCTAATTATCAAACAGGTAGAATTAGGGAGCAGATATTAGGATGAAATCCTGCAGCCTCAGTGGAAACTGAGGTGTGTTATAAGTCAAAGAAGCCTGATTTCTGCCTCTCTGCCCTGGGGGTTCTGTCATCTGACCATAATTTGGGTGTGCGATCGTTACTGGTACTAGTTGTGTGCCTGGAAGTCAAGGGGAGAAGACCAAAACCGAGCTATGGGAGAAATGTACATGAGTTCTCTGGCGCTCTGGGGAGGGAACATGGCCTTGCAGGTCTTCTGCAGTCCTTGGGGGCTTTCAGCTGTATGTGTCCTTCTGTGCAGTCCTAGATGCTCTCTGGCCACCACGACTCAGAACATGGATTGCTGGTGGCTTCGCTCTCGCTGGCTTCTGGGTGGCCTTGGTGCCCTCTGAATCATGTGGAGGGTGTCCTCCACACCTCACACCCAGTCCTATGTTAAGATTCTTCCTAAATACCAAGTCATGCCTTCCAGCCTCTGCCTCTGGTGGGGCGTCTGGAGAGCCCCTGACTGTCAGAGATGTCAGGGCGAGAATGGCGTGGGTTCCAGCTAATTTTCTTGTCACCCTCTGTCTTCTTAGAGATGTCAAGCCTGACAACATTCTCCTGGATGAGCAAGGTGAGTGTGTGGAGCTCTGGGACACCGCGAGGAGCGTGGGAACCCTGCCCAGGACCTGGACAACCGTGTCTGTCCTCTCTTCACAGGACATGCACACCTGACCGACTTCAACATCGCCACCATCATAAAGGATGGGGAGAGGGCAACAGCTTTAGCTGGGACCAAACCATACATGGGTAAGCCCAAGGCCTCAGGTGACATCTGGCCATGCAGGGCCATGCCCCTGCCGCAGTCAGACATAAAGTCATAAGAGGATTAACAGGAAAGGCTTTTTTAAAAATTATTTATTTATTGGTTTTTTAGCCGATATGTATAAATGTGCGAGGGAGCTGGATCCTGGAGTCACAGACAGTTGTGAGCTGCCATGTGGGTGCTGGGAACTGAACCCGGGTCCTCTAGAAGAGCAGTCAGTGCTCTTAACGGCTGAGCCATCTCTCCAGCCCCAGGAAAGGCTTTTTTATATGATCAATTGGATATGTGTAGAAAACTCTGCAGGTATAGATGAGAGTCATGGGATGGAAATATGAGGTGGCCCCCTCCGTCCCTGCACACTCCCTAGAACAGAGGAGCTGGGTTTGAACCAAATAGTCTAGCTATGCACAATGTTTTAGCTACTGTGGGGCTGCTCCAGGAGGGTGCTTCTCCATGCAGGTGGAACAGTACAGAATCATGGTGGGTAGGTTCTCTTTTAGATCCGGTGAAGCCTTCTTTCCAGGCTTGGCTGCAAGCTGCCCGGTTATCAGGCCCTCTAGCCCCACAGCTCAGCTCTTTCTTCTCTCTGTTGGAAAGCTCCAGAGATCTTCCACTCCTTCGTCAATGGCGGGACCGGCTACTCCTTCGAGGTGGACTGGTGGTCGGTGGGGGTGATGGCTTACGAGCTGCTACGTGGATGGGTATGGAGACTTTGTGACCCTACGCTAGCCACTTCCTTGCCCCAGACTGGCTGAGAGCCAGAGAGGGAGGATGGTACACCCAAACCTCGGAGGATGCAGGCTTTTAGCAAAGTGTGATAGATACCTGAGCAAGTGAGTCTCCTTGAGTGGCCAGTGATGGACAGGACATGTGTCCATCAGGTCCCTGGAAGGGACTTTGCTTTTTGTTTTCTCTCTCTAAGAACAGAGATACTGATCTGCTTAGGCCTCATATTGCCCTCTGTATCCTCTCTTGGGGTACCCCCACCATTCCATGGAACCCCAGTCTGATGAACACAGGACCTCCCGTCCTTTGGGACTGACCCACCCAGGCCTTTGGTCTTGGTGGTGGTAGGGCATGCATATTCTTGACAGATGAGTTTCTGGGCTGTGGTACCTGGTTCCGTCTTGGTGCAAGCTAGATCCTGGGCTCTGGATCAAGTAGCTGCTGTTTTCAGAGCTGGTCCTCTACCAGGGAGTGCAGATGGGCTCCCAGGTGTTTGCACTTGTGCTAGGGTGCAGGGGCAGGAAGGGGCCCCTGGTACAGTACATCCCTGCCCACAGAGGCCCTATGACATCCACTCGAACAACGCCGTGGAGTCGCTTGTCCAGCTGTTCAGCACCGTGAGTGTTCAGTATGTGCCCACCTGGTCCAAGGAGATGGTCGCCCTGCTACGGAAGGTGAGCCTCCTTCCTCGTCCCCCTCCCCCGGCAGAATCCTATCCCTTCTGCACTCTGTCAGCATCTCAGAGAGGTACCCCATCTTGCCATGGACACAGACTCCTTCCCTAGCACAGCCATAACCTTTCCTGGACAACCACTCTGAGACCCTGTCTGGCTCAGCGAAGTGGGTTTCTAGTTCTGCAGAAGCGTCTCACGGACAACCTGACTGCTCCCTTGTGGTGGCTTAAATAATGGCATACATAGCCCTGTCTGTAATCCTGTCAGGAACCCGTGCTTTAGGACGTCACCATCACCCACTTCGCAAGATACTCAGACCCAGGCAAAGAATTCAGGCATCAAGCCTTCTGCATTACACCTTTAGAAGGGAGAGGGTACCGAGCTGGCGCATGGCTCAAACTGTGCTCTTGTCTCCTCTGCCCCTGTCCCCACCCTGAAAGGTACACAGGGACTGGGGTCACCACTCCCAGGGAGCAAACAAAGAAGAAAGCCAATCTCCCCCTCCCTGTCCCACAGCCAGGTTCTGTCTATAACTGCTGGAAGGAGGATGGAGGATAACAGCTATCAGGGATGCAGGGACACCATATGTCCTGGGACTGGACTACGGGTTGCTTATCACATGATGAACTTTTCTCTAAATGTGTTGTTGATCGGAGCATTCCAAGGGGTGGAGCCAGATAGCAGAGCCCATAGTCAGGACAGGTGTGAGAAATGGTTATTATATACAAGAGGTACCTAGGCCTACCGACTTGATGTCCTGATCCAGCGTGGATGCCTAGGTTTCTGGAGCCTGGAGGTTCTATGCGGTAATAAGAGGCTTTGCAATAGTTGGGCCCACATGCGAGTATCAGAGAACATTAACCAGGCTACCACTGCCACCTGCTGGCAAATATTGGTAGGACATCCCTGCAGGTCCTCTGTTGTCCTTGGGCACCAGGGCACTGGGATCACAGAACCCCTTGGGCCATATTACTTGATGCCACCTTTCCTCTCGTGCCATTTGTGATCCTGAGGTTCCAACGCCTCAGACCCGTGGACATCTTCAAGGGTTGCTTCAACCTGGGGCAGGTGGCCATTCTTCTGTGGGACGCATCTAAGAGGGGGGCTCCTTGCAGCTCCTCACCGTGAACCCCGAGCACCGGTTTTCCAGTCTCCAAGACATGCAGACAGCACCATCACTGGCCCATGTGCTCTGGGATGACCTGAGCGAGAAGAAGGTGGAGCCGGGCTTTGTGCCCAATGTAAGAAGTCCGTGTGCTGGGACTGGCAAGCCCAGGCTGGTGGGGTGGGGTGGCACCTGCAGGCTGGGCTCAGTACCCTGTCTCTACACAGAAAGGCCGCCTGCACTGTGACCCCACCTTCGAGCTGGAAGAGATGATCCTGGAGTCGAGGCCTCTGCACAAAAAGAAAAAGCGGTTGGCTAAGAACAAGTCGCGGGACAGCAGCAGGGACAGCTCGCAGTCTGTGAGTGCTGGGTTCAGGCTGCGGGTCTTCCCCACCCCTGCGTGTGGTGTGCAAGGTCACTTCACAGCACTCTGGCATGGCCTCTGGGCAGAGCGTGTGCTCCCTAGTCCAGCAGTAGTCTTCTAAAGTCCCAAGGAAGCCTAGGATTTCCCCCTATCCTTACCAGCATCCCTGGTCATACCTGGCTTTTCGTCACAGCTGCCCTCAGCTGCTTGCTCCTTCTGGACATCAATCAACTGGAGGACCAACTGACCAGTGGCGGGCACACACTGAGAGCAAAGAGCCCCTGATGCTATGCCCAGGGGCTTTAGTGCTCAGGCAACTAGTGTCCTGGTGCATCAGTGCTCAGGGGTACCAGTATCCAAAATCAAAATGTCAAAGCTCTGTTCTCTGAAGCCTCCAAGAAGGTAGTCCTTCCCCGTCTCTCTGGCTCTGGGGTAGCTGCCAATCCGAGCATCCCACGTAAAGTCACATCCACAGGTTCGAGGGTTTAGATCCTGAACATTTGAGGGGGAGTCACAGTCTCCTTCCTGATGCCAGGGTACAGCTGGCGAGAGCAACCGTCATGTGCTGACGTCCGAGTGGTAGTGATCAATGGTCAGTGTTTGCCCTATACTTGGGCCTCTCTCTCTGGAGTATGACCTCCCAGATCTGATGGGCTCTGTTGTTTCTGAGTGGGCGTGGGATACAGGGCCGGGGTTATCCCCTTGATGCCCTGGTTTTTCAGAAGCAGATAGGTAGGAAGGGCTCCTGTTCTCTCTCTCCTCCAACTGCCCATGGCACCCCAGTGTCTGTTATGTTTCAGTCTGATGGCTCCTGGGCCAGGTGCCAAGAGTAGGGATGGCAGAGGTTCTGGCTGGGGTGCATAGAACCAGGGCTTTGGGGAATCGAAACTGGCTCTATGTTGGAGTGGGGGCCTAGTGTGAGAATCCAGATGTAGAGAGTGTACAGACACTAACTGCTGTGCTGACTTCTGGAGGCTATGAATGGATAGACGCCTACACCGGGCGGACCTCGGCGCCATCCTGCAGCAGTTGGTGGGCTTTTGATAGAGGGTGGGACGTGTTCTGAAAGTTGGCTAACACTGGGAAAACGTCCAGCATTCTTATGGAAAATTGAGAACCTCGAGACTGAGGCACTTTAATGAATACTTTTATTTTCTTACAGGCACATAGCATACAACACACACACACACAGACACACACACACAGACACACACACCCCCCCCAAGTGCAGCATCGCTGGCTTCCAGCACACCTGCCACTACAATCTGAGTGGAGAGCTCTCCCACAGCCCCCCTTATCAGCTGCTCTTTTCCAGGCTTCCCCTGCAGGCATGGCAGCCGCCTCGGTCCCTGTAGATGTCCCTGCTCTGACAGTTCACCTTGATGGAATCATAGTGTGTGGTCCTGCACACTTATTGCACTCAACACAGTGTTTTCAAGACTCACCCACACTGTCCTAAAGGCCAGCACCTCCATTCTTCGGATTGTGAGAAACATCCCTTCTGTTTAGTATTTTATTCACGATTATATCACATTTCCCTCAGCCATTTGTCACCTGACTGGGCTTTGGGCCACTTCTGCTCTTGACTCATTGCTAACACTGCTGCAAATTTGTGTGTAGGTCCCCGTGGGGGTATGCTCTCATTTCCCTTGGGAGGGACCTTAGTGTGACATCTGGCTTATGTGCCACCTCTGTGCCTCGATTCTCAGGAACCCACCATAGCGTCTCCAGTAGCTGCACCATGTTATGCCCCCACTGGCCACATCTGAGGTTCTAATGCTTCGTGTCCTCGTCAGTGCTTCTGAATGTTCAGTGTGCAGCTTCAGTTGTAACCACCACACTGAGTATGAAGCAGTGAAGATTTTGTTTTTGTTTTTTAGCTAGGTTTTTTTTTGTAGTTGTTGTTTGGTTTGATGGAGTATTTTGTTTGCATTCTTTGTTGGGTTTCTGGTTGCTTTTTTGAGACAGGGTCTCTTGTAACCGAGGCTGGTCCTAAACCCACCTTCTTGTCAAGAATGACCTTGAATTTCTGATCTCCTGCTTCTACCACTCAAGTGCTGGGATTCGGGGTGTGCCCTGCCATACCCCACAATGTTCTGTGCATGCTACACTCCC